ATAGTAAAGGTGTGTCTCAGTCTAACTTTTACTTAATAAATGCACTTCAATGGTCAAATCAGCTGCATTTTGCCGGGGCGGCGCAGCGAAATGAAGCAGATTTGACGGTTGCTCCAGGTGAGCTGGACGAAGGTGGCAGGGTATGGCAAGCCAATTGTGTCATTAATAAACACTTTTTTACCTATTACATAACACAATAACATGTCATACTACTCGACTGCCATCTAGCGGCTGAAAATGGCAGTGTTCATTATTTTCTGTCAGAATGAATGAAAACGGTCATATCTCTGCCAAAAATTGGTTTGTAAATATGGAAAAAAATCCATAAATATATTGCTTCTGCATATAAGTCGCAGGACATGCTAATTATGCCCAAACTGCGACTTATAGGCCAAAAAATACAATAAGTCACCAACATTTAATATATTCGGCCTTTGCCCTTGCTGCCAATTTGTCTGAAAATGATCTATGTAATGGCAGCACGGTGATGCAACTGGTAGAGCTGCTGCCTCTCAGCGAGAAGGTTGCCGGTTCAAACCCCGGTCCAGGGGCCTTCCTGGGTGGAGTTTGCATGTTCTCTCCGTGCATGCGTGGGTTTTCTCGGGGTACTCCGGTTTCCTCCCACAGACCAAAAACATGCACGTTAGACTGATTGGTAACTCTAAATTGTCCCTAGGTGTGAGTGAGAGAGTGAATGGTTGTTTGCTCTATGTGTCCCTGTTATGGACTTGCGACCCGTCCAGGGTGTACCTCGTCCAGGGTGTACTCCGCCCCTCGCACAGTGATTGCTGTACATGGGCACCGGCGACCCCCATGACCCAAAATGGAAGAAGCGGATAAAAGATAATGGATGGATGGATGGAGGATCTATGTAGTTCTTAGGGACGAGACAATGTTTTTGCCATTTTTACAAGCATACAAACTGTACGCTGGGGGGTCGAGGACTGGTGTACCCTTTTCAAAAAATATTGTTAATCCTTTTTGATCCCTGAATGACACATGTTGCTATTCTCCAGCATGGCAAATATTTGGCTAATTCAAAATAAAGATGAGTGAAATGGCTGCACAGACCAGTCCTTCCTTTAATGGTTCATAAATCACATGTGAAGCGTCTACGTTCCACTTCGAGCGGAACCAAAAAGGCGGAGTAGAACTCAGCTGGGGTGAAGCGGAAAGCAATGCATTAAATGTGTCGGACATTTCCCTCGTGTCATTTGTTATAATGAAGTAACTAAATTAGCTGAAGCGCAATAATGAATTAACTCACCTTTTTAAACTTACTACAAAGCTGCTGTGCGTCATCATCAGTATTCCCTCGGTGATAAATCTTTTTGTTGTTTAATCCTGCTAGCAGCCAGTCACAGCAAATGCGGTCAGTTCATGAGTTCAGCTGACCGCACCACAGGAGACAAAGATGAGGCGAGCCACTGTGGTGGTGCACAGCCTTTTGACTCGTGTTTCTGCTAATTTAGTTCTTATAATTAAACTTTATTAACACTCAATAAAATAATACTAAAATACAAATATTTGTATATGCCCCAGATTAAAGCAAAGCTGTGTGTCTCAGTTTTACTTTATTTTCCCCTAAATTCATGAAATTCTTTCTGTGAGAGGTTCCAAAAGAGCTGTGTATGCTGCAAAGGATGTTGGGTAGTCTTTTGGGAATCGTGTGTATACTGTTTCTGGCTGTTTACGATGTTTCAGAGCGTGGACATGAGTTGTTCTTGTTAACGTCCTGTTCAGGTTTAGTGTCTGTTACTGGCTGTAAACTAACACCATGAGTCAGAGCTTGTTCCTGGTGTAAAGCACTGCGAGGGTGAAAGTGAGTACCTTTTATTGAGGGTGACACTTAGTTTGGTGTAGCTTTATATATTGTTTGGTGTAAGTCAACATTTTCTTGAACTCTTTTGGCGGTCATTGTTGGCTCTTGGTTGTCGAGGAGAAGACTGGGGGGAGATGTCTGGAGAGGAGGGGGCAGACCTGAGAGAAACAACACAAATATTTGATATTAGCTTTTGCACAGAGACTCATCCTAAAATGTTTCTGTTGATTTTGTTGATTTGTTTCTGTTAACTAAAAAATAGAAAGACACATTACAAGTTCAATGCCTATAAAAGTTCATAATTTGAGATATTTATTGTTAAATACATAATCCTCTGCCCATTACTTTGCATGCTTTGTAAAGTTGACTGATGCATAGAGTGTTTACATGATACATAAAACACTGACTCTCCGTGTCAGATCTTCAGCTTCCTGCCTTCGTCATTATTGTTTTTCTGTCTTCCAAAAGTATACTTTCTGAACACTTGTAAAAATGTTGAAAATTGAGAATGGCACCTTACATTCTTACCTAACACAGTTAAGTCAGGTCCTTTGGACAGTGTCTTCATGTTGAAATGTTTCGTCTTTCATCCAAAAGACTTCTTCAGTCTGAGGAGCCACAACAAACCCAGTTTCATAAATAGCACCTTCTCATAGTGGATCAACCAGTTTGATGGTGCTCAGGTGGTTTCTGTAGTCCGCCCTCTCCCCTGCCACCTGCTTAAACTCAAACGAGTTTGAGAGTCGGTTCTCCTCATCCTGAACTTATCTTTGCACTGTTGACCTTGTGTTAACCACATATGACAAACAAACAACATAAACTAGTTTGAGGCAATCCTGTTCCAAGTGGTTCCAAACCTTCTCCAAAGTGGTTTTTGAGTTTTCATAGTTGATCCATTATGAGAAGGTGCTGTTTATAAGACTGAGTTTGTTGTGGCTCCTCAGACTGATGAAGTCTTGAATGAAAGATTAAATGTTTTAACAAAAAGAAACTGTCCAGAGGACCTGTCTGAACTTTGTGGGATTTTTCTACCTGGATCATTGAGCATGAATCAGGATGTTCTGAACCACTTACTTATTTGCTGGAAAACAATCAATCAGTCTTGTGGAATAAATTATTTAAGACTTGTAGTTTAACTTTGTTTTTTATTTATTTATCAAAGCTGTTGTAATATTTTGCAGGCTATACTGGAGAAATATCCCTTAGGCCAGGAGAGACCTCGCATGGATGTGTTACCAGCTGCTCCCTCAGCTCAACAGACACTTGTAATAACATGCTCATTCTATTAATCACGTTACTGTTTTTTTTTTTAACTGTATGCTCTAAAATAAATCCTAATAATGTGATCAAATTATTGATTCTTTTTTGCACACATCTCTCACTCAGGAAGAACAGTCGGCTCAGGCTCTAGCGTCTAAAGCAGAGTCCCCAGCACAGGATCCATCCACAGCAAAGTCTGCTCTCATCTTTGAGGACACTGACATCTGTGACCTTATTCCAAAATCATCAAAGCCTGACAGTCCGCAAGTGGATAAAGCTCTGGAGGAGATTGGCTCTGACCTGCCGGAAGCCCGTCATGCTATACAACTTGTAGAATACGACTTTAGTGCCCCCTTTAGTCTGCATGAGGGAATTGCTGGTCAAGCCACAGTCCAGCCCAGGCCTCGATGTGGACCTGCAGACCAGCCTGAGTTGATTCAAAACCCCATTTTCTTTGAAAAACATGTGTCTTATGTCCAGGAGAGTGTTCCTGCATCTTATCCATTTGGAGGAGCCTCTAAAATCAGCTTTCATTTAGATCAGCACACACCAAAGGAACAAAATACTAGTGTCCAAACACGACCTTCACAAGCTTCCGTTCAGCAAGAAGTTACAAACTGTAATCAGAAGGAGGCGGCAGCTGGCACAGAACAAGATGCTGGACAAATATCTGTCTTGTCTGAAAAAGAAAGTGTGACTATGGAAGCATCAACACCTAAAACAGCAGAAAATGGCAAAGATCAAAGTGATCACAGAATACTTTCAGGTTTGTCTGATAAGATGAAGCTGGTGGAGACAAAAACTCAAGGCCACAACTCAGATACGTATGACAAAGCTGCTGAAGATGTTTCGTCCTCAGACATTCAGAGAACTGTCTCTACTGCCTCCATTAAGGTTGGAGAACTGGCTTCAGATGTTTCTCAGCCCCCACTCTGCATCCATGGGCATTCATCCGATGCTCACATAAAGGTTGGACAGTATACATCTGAGGTAGCTGCTCCTCTGCCCTCCCCAAACATTCATGGGCACGCCTCCAATTCTCACTTCAAGATAGGAGTTAATGTTTCAGAAGTTGATGCACCTCCAATGTCCTCTAGTTCCCACGGTCACTCTTCTGATGCTCACATCAAAATTGGGGAAAATATTTCTGAATTTATCCCTCCTGTTCCGACTCAAAACATCCACGGCCATGTCTCAGATGCTCACATCAAAATAGGGGATCTTGTTCCAGATGTAACGATGCCTGTGTCATCACCAAGTGTTCACGGTCACAGCTCAGATTCTCATATAAAAGTTGGGGAAAACATCTCTGATTTTGTCTTACCACGTCCTCCTCCCAGTATTCATGGACACTCCTCTGATGCAAATATAAAAGTGGGTGAGTTTGTGTCCAATGTAACTGAGGCAAGACCTCATTGGAGTAAACATGGGCACGCCTCAGACTGCGCCCTCCAGCCTGGGTGTGTGGTGCCAGGATCAGAACCACCCTCGTCCGCTTTGCCTGGAAGCTCATACGGCCACTCGTCTGATTCAGCGTTAGGTGTTGGGTGTGCAGTTCTAGGCGATGAGCCCAAACGTTCTCCCTTACCTGGCAGTGCTCACGGTCATTCATCGGACTCTAATTTAAGCTCTGGGTGCGTTGTTTCACAAGTTGAACCACTTCGATCACCACTTCCAGGCAGCGCCTATGGCCACTCATCAGATTCAGCTATGGGAGTTGGGTGTGTAGTGTTGGGGTCAGAGCTGCCACCCTCTGCTCTACCAGGCAGCTCATATGGTCACTCCTCAGATTCTTCCCTAGGAGTCGGGTGTGTGGTGAAAGGAAAAGATGATGAAAATCAGCAAAAGACAAAAGATGAGGGCAGTAACGGTACTGAAACACTGTTGAACACTTCTGTGCATGCAACTTTGTTAGAGATGGTCTTGCTAATTTTCATTTACAGTAGTCCCTCATTTATCATGGGGGATCCGTACCCTGAAGCCCCGCAATTAGACCTGTCACAATAAACAAATCAATTAATCGCATGAAAATTATCAACCTAATTTTCATTTATCGGCTTTATCGTTTCTTTGTGTCTCTCTCTTTCTACTGAAGAAACCGGATGCCAAAAGGTTCAACTCTGGTGCTCTTCACTGACCCCTCTCTTTTTTTCTTGTAAAAAAATAAAAATAAATTTTAACTGTCCAAAATCTCGTTTTTGGATCATTAATATCAGCTAAGCTACGAGCTAAGCTAACAAGTCGACCTCAGGGGGGAAAAAACCTCCGTCTTGTCAAAGCTCCAAAATTCACAGTTGAAACTCGTGCCTTCATGTAAAAAGTTGTTTTTCTCTGCAAAAAGAAGCTGAGAAATTGTTTACTGATTTTTTTTATTAAAAGCTTTGTGTGAAAAATGCTATGCTAAAGAGCTCAAACCACACAGAGCAGCTGCCATTTTGAGAACCGGAAAATAAGGAAGGAGAGACATCCCATGTCACGTCAAGGGACCTCCCTCCCATTTTTCTTAAAGAGACACGCTGCTCACTCTCTCACTATCCATCCTTCAGTTCAGTCATACTGCCATCCAGTGGTCAAAAAAGGTACTACACACAAAATAAAATTAACCAACATTTCTTCTTAAATTTGACAATAATTACTAATTATTGTCAAATTTCAAACAATATTATTGTTTATCACAACAATTTCTGAGACAATCGCCCAGCAAAATTTGTTATTGTGACAGGCTTACCTGTAATAAGTGAAAAACCGAATACTAGTACAAGTAGTAAGTAACAGTTTATTTTATTATTTACCGGTGTGCGTTTGTGTGTGTGTGTGTGTAT